TGAAAATCAAGCATTACATGGTTCATAAAGAATAAATTTCATTACATAGCTCTTATAATGTTCCTTTGTGCTATAAAAATACAGTTAGTGATATTCATCATATTTTGGACAACATGTATTTGATATTTTTGACATCTATGGAGAAAACTCTACATTTAATGGCATTGTATTGCTTTTCATGAAATAATACATGGTACTGATCTTTCACTCAGATGTTGAGAATCTACTAAGAATTTAAGTAAAGAGGAAACTGAAACTAAGCATTAGCGACATGTAAATTCTGATACAAATACAAGCTCCATGTGGTTATATAATTTTATGTTTATCATCGGGTTTTTATTATATAAATAGTGGACTTATATTCCCAGAGTGTGGCTGAATCATGTTGATTTCTATCTGAAGAGTGTTGAAACTTTGGAATTGTGATTGTAGTTAACAAATTTAAGTAGCAATTCATTGGTTTCCTTAGAATTTTGTGTATATATTTTGACAAGTAAAATCATTTAATAGAAATTCAGTGGAAGATTGAATTTCATGTACATGTTCAATGCTTTGTTATTCAATGATAATTTGGAATTTGCTTTATATTAATACAGGGTATGAGTGAATCAAATAAAATTGGATTTGTTCTTTTATTACCCATATATTCTCAAAGTACAGATTTAATAAGTGAGGAATCCTGCTTAGATTTAACTGCTCAGCATATTCCTTGAGATCTCTTTTTTGAAATAATGTAGTGTGGCCACACATTATTTAGGCTATCCAGTAGCTCCAAATGCCCATTTATCACTAAACCATTCTCAAAGGAAGATTCCATTTAACAGTTATGAAAGGCAAAATTAATCATAAATAGTGCATTTTTCTGCTGGTGAAAGATAATCTTAGCTAATAATTAAAACAACATCCAGAGACACAGAATTTCCACATGGCTTCATTTATCAGAGTACATATTGATTATCAAGTTATTCTCAGCTTCAAGTGATACATTTGATGTAATTTCACAGAAATTTTAAGGAATCCCTTGCAAATACCTAGAACTGGAGGTCATCATTTTTTCTTTTTATTCTTTGTTTTCAATTATTTAAATAGAAATGAATATAAAACTTCACTGAGCAAATAATTTAAAGCTACGTAATGAAACAAAAATATTCACAACAATCTTAATCTTCCTCCCTGGAATGACCTTAACCACTTTTTGGAAAATTTCACTCAACCACACACACACACACACACACACACACACACACACACACACACACACACACACTCACACATCATCATCATCATCATCATCAGTATCAGATGTATTAAAATAAAGCCAGATACAATTTAGCATCTGTTTCAGATACCATTGAAATCTGTCTCCATAAAAAGAATATATAGTCCTTAAGAAAAAGAGGCTATGACCTTTTCCTTTCTCTGATTCTACTCAAGGAGACTGATCAGTTTAAAGTGGAGTAGGAAAGGCAATGTCTTGGTAAGGACTCTCTGAAGGGCATTGTAAACAAGGTGAAGTATTGTTTAGAAGGGAGGCTATTCTCTGTGGAGAAAGAAGGTAGCTTTCCTTGGTCTGTGAATCTACCTGGAGTAAAACAAGCTACTGATGTCAATGATTAGAGAAACTACTAAATAAAACCCCTCTTTTCAAGGTTTCTGAGTGTTTGACACTATGAAGAGAATAATATGGTGGCTTACATGCTGCCCATAAGTAATTTTTAAAAATTATCAGTGTCCCACTCAAATGACAACTCAACATGAAAATAACAATAATATGCATCAAGTATCTCTGAATTTCTTATTTTACAAATAGAGTGCATTTGGCCCCATATTAATGTACATGTATAATTTATATACCATGCTGTACATAATATATTTCTATGAATATAATTTATGGAGCTAACATCTGAATTTTAATTTTTTACATTTTATAATCTGAATTTTATATAATGCTTTAATTTTGATAGATGCATGCAAACTTAAGTATATGAGTAAAACCACTGTGTGTCTTTTAAGACCTGCAGAGAGTTCAACAGGTTAAAATTTTCATATTATAAAGTATTTATTATATTTTATATACAAGAAAAGATACTAAAATATAGATGATAATATTTCTTTAGAGAGGCAAAAACATGTGATTTTTTTTTCTCTGTGATATTTTTGACAGCGTGGTGAATTCCTTTTGGGTGACCCTGAACTGATAATGGTGTGCCCTGCTTATGAAGGATCATCAATCTTGGAAAAATCTCAGTGACAACATCAGTGTCAATTTCTTGATCATGGCAGATATATATCTGAAGAGTTTGCACTTATGCTGAATTAAAAGCATCATGGCCTACACAAACAGCTACCGGCACAGCAAAGTGATAGCATTTTTAAGAAATTCAGAGAATTTGTCACAATCCAGTTAAGAAGAAAGTTGAAACCACTGAAAAATATGAAATGAAGTAATGACTAATTTTATTTTAATAATTAAAAGTCATACTATGGGTTAGTTCCTAGTTTATTACAAAAAATAACTTTATTTGAAATTTCTTAACATAATATGCCTCAAGTGCTGATGTAAGATATTTATCTTCACAATAGATATTATTCTTACTATTGCAGAAAATTTTAACATTTATATTACTAAACCTTAATAAAAACACTAAATAAACAAAGGTGTATATCATGAAATTATTAATCTGAAAATATTAAGCATTCTAAATTAAGCCTTCAATTTTCCCAAAAAATTTAATGCACTAAATTGAAAAATATATATTCTGACATAATTACAACTCAATTTACATTGTATAAAATTTTGTTTTATAAAGTTAATGTCTTTTGGGGGGAGGGTATTTTGAGAGGGTTTCTATGTGTAGTTTTGGTGCCTGTCCTAGATTTCATTCTGTAGACCACACTGACCTTGAAATCCCAGAGATCTGCCTGGCTCTGCCTCCTGAGTGCTGGGATTAAAGGTGAGTGCCATTTGTTACAGGTCATTGTCATTGCTCTTAGTTACCATCCAGAACTGGATGTTAAGAATATATTGCCCAAGAGCCAGGAGGATCTCTATGAGTTCGAGGCCAGCCTGGTCTACAGAGCGAGATACAAAACAGGCTCCAAAACTACATAGAGAAACCTTGTCCTGAAAAACCAACATATATATTTTTTTTTCTCTGTGATATTTCTCTGTGATATATTGTGATATATATATATATATATTGCTCAAAACATCACATATTTAAGATGCAGAACACAGATAACTCATTCTGATAATCACCAAGATACTGTGTCCAAACTGTCTTGAAAGTTGTTATGGATGCTACTGAAGGAGAAAACAAACAAAAAGAAAAAATATCATCCTTATTCAGGGGAGAACCCTGCAAGTTGTAATAATGACTGTCCTGATTGGGCATTCCCATTGGTACAGTCATGACACAAATGTCATAGGAGAAACAGGAAAACTTTATGTTTGAATTAAGGCCCCGTTTGCTCCATAATATAGAACACATTCCTGACACCATTATTAGGACTAAGAATCCATGGCTATACAGGGCATGGGACCTAGTGGAAAACCTAATGTGTTGCTCGTCTTACTGGACATAAACACTTAATGACTTGTCACTATTCCCATAGATTATTGCATGCCTCAATCTTCATTTGAGAAGCTTACTTTTGCAGTCTATGGTTATTAACAGAGAGTTACAACCGATCAAGGTGCAGAGAATAATAAAAAGGGGAGTGTTAAGTGCTAAATGGGCTATCTATGTTATACCTTCTTCCTCCAAGGCTCCGTGATCTGTTTGAAGAGGTGACAGATAAACTGAAAGAGACAGAGGCAGTGGATGACTACTATAAGAAAATAGTGTTGTTTTTTTCCAAATAGACACTTCTATTTTTATTTCAATTGTAAAAAAATAATTCCAAACAAGAGTCACCACCAACCCCATGACAACTCACCAGGCAAGGCCCTGCTCCCTTCTCCCCTGCTGTGGGATGTTCTGTATGTCCTGTGGGAGCCCTTCTTGGGTTCCTTGTGGTGTTACCCAGCAGGTCCGAATAGAGGATGATTAGGACCATGGGCCTGAGTGCAGGTGTCTGAGATGGTCTGCACTTGGCTGTGCTGGGGGATGGTCTGTATGTCAAGTTGTTCTGATTGATCAATAAACAAAACCTGATCGACTGTGGCTAGGCAGGAAGGATAGGCGGGACTAACAGAGGAGAAATAAAAGGACAGGAAGGCAGAAGGACTGACTGTCAGATGCCGCCATGACCAGAGCATGTGAAGATGCCGGTAGGCCACCAGCCATGTGGCAAGGTATAGATTTATGGAAATGGACTAATTTAAGCTATAAGCACAGTTAGCAAGAAGCCTGCCACGGCCATACAGTTTGTAAGCAATATAAGTCTCTGTGTTTACTTGGTTGGGTCTGAGCGGCTGTGGGACTGGTGGGTGACAAAGATTTGTCCTGACTGTGGGCAAGGCAGAAAACTCTAGCAACACTCCCCCCTCTTTGAAGTCCCCTGTGCCTAATCAGCAGCCTGGGGGAAGCACCCTGAGCTAATGCTAGCTTTCCCAAAGTGGGAGTTACACATGAGGGAAGAGACTTGGCAAGGCTCACCATCATTGGAAACTGCCCGAAGCCAACTGAAATAGTCCAGTCCAAAATCCCAACTCTTCCTCTAACAGTCTCTACAGGTGACACTTTGGCTTGGGGCAGGGGAGGAGAGAGTGGGACCAGAGCAGCCTGGGGGCTTGCCTAGCTTCTCCTGGAACAAAGATAATCTGCTGTCTGTTAGGCTTATACTGTGGCAGGTCGGAGGCTGGATCTGTTAGTGCATTTAGTGCCTGCTGAGAAGGTTGGCCCAGCCTGGGATACTGAAGTCCATGAGAGCCCACCTCCTCCCCCACCCCCACCCCTGTCACCTTCTGCTGAATAAGGGGGTAGGGGGTGGGTGGGAGGAGGATGTAACCACTGCTGGTTCTTGGCATCTCTTCTGTGCCTGCATGGGCCTCTTCCTCAGGAGTGCCAGAGAGCTTGAGTCCGGTAGGATTGAGGGTGACCCTGTGCTAAGACTCAGCCACAGCTGAGGCCACAGCGTAGCTGACCTAAGAGTAGCCCCCAGCCATCTGACTCGTGGCCGCATTGCTGCCCACTCCTCATCAGGCCTGGAAGCTGAAGAAAGCACTCACTCCATAGGCAATCATCACCAGGCAGGCAAAAAACAAGGCAGCTGAGCGCTGGTTATATGGTCGGGAGCCCTTCAGGGACATCAGGTCGACCGCGGCAGCACACGTGATAAAGGCAGTAATATAGAGAACCGTGGCAGCGACTAAAAAGATCATTAACACCAGAGGCCAGGGAACCATGTACAATTTCATGTGCAGCTGAAACAGGTAGATGATGAAGAGGACGATTGTCACCAGCCAGAGGAAGACCGCGACGAACATGACCCAGCCATAGGCAGGATACAGGTGGTATGGCGTGTCAGCAATCAAGGCCCACCACACCAGCAGCCCCAGCACCAGCTGTAGTAGCGTGAGCACCCCGAGGGCGGAGCGCAGGAAGCCCAAGTCGGGGCGCAGTGCTGACACAGATGCTCCCATGCCCTGCGCGGGGCTGCCAGTCCTGGTGCTCACTTTCGATGGGAACTCGGCCATGGCGTTCAGGAGCCCACGACACTCCGGCCGCGCTCCGGGGCGTTGCTCCGCTGCTCCGGGGCTGCAACTGCTTTTTTTTTTTTCCACCCAAGTTTTATTGAAGAAAAGATTTAACTGTTAAAACTGCAGGCAAATTCCTTTCACAATGGCAGATCCCCAAACTCCACATCAAAGAGGCAGCTTTGGAAAGTACTGCCACTGAATTCAGCCACTCCCAGGAACAAGCTTGCCTCCTCACAAACCAAGAGGTGACAGATAAAGTGAAAGAGACAGAGGCAGTGGATGACTACTATAAGAGAATAGTGTTTCCCAGACACAGCAGAACAGTTGCACTGGATGACTACTACAAGAAAACAGTGTTTTCCCAGACACAACAGAATAATTGCAGTGGATGACTACTACAAGATAAAACAGTTTTGAGTTGCATTGCTCAGGAACTATCTTTCATGTTTTATTTTGTTGTTGTTTTGTTGTGGGTTTTTTTGTCACTTTGAAACAAGATATAGATTTTTAAGAAGAGGAATCTCAATCAGGAAAATGCTCCATAGGATTGACTGCTGGACATTTTATTGATTAATAACTGATGTGGGAAGGCCCAGTTCACGGTCAGTGTTGCCGCCCTGGAGTGTTTAATCCTGAGTCATAAAAGAGAGTAGGCTGATCAAGCCATGAGGATCAAGGCCATAAACTGTGGATCTCCATGGCATTTGCTTCAGTTTATGCCTCCAGATCCCTTTGTTGATTTCTTGCCTTGACTCCCTTTTATAGTGAATAATAAGTTATGAGATGAAATATATCTTTTCTTTACCAAATGTTCTAGGACCTAAAGTCTTGGTTATTGTCTTTATTACAGCTACTTAGAATCCTAAGTAGAACACCATCCACTTTTTCCTTTGAGATAAAGCCTCTCACTGGCCTAGATCTTATCTTTACAGGCTGGCTGGCAAGCCCTAGAGATAAACCTATCTCCAAGTCACCAACATTGCAGTTACAAGCTTATATCACCATGATCCACTGTCTAATGTTTATAAATGTTTATGTCTTACTGTAGTGAGTGTGCTTAAATATCTGTGTTTGCAGTTGTGAGATGCTAGAAGCATTAGTAAAATGCATACATAACAGCTGCAAGAAACACATTGCCATATGTATGATATGTGTTTTCACATTTTGTGTTTAATTCCCAGAACTCCCAATACATACCAGCTGAAGAATATTGAGTGAATTTTGGTTTGAGACCAAGGTAGAATAATGATTGTGAGGTATGGGTCAAGAGGCAATGAAAACATACAGGGGGGAGAGGCAGGAAGAAGATATCTGGTTCTCAATACATTTCTCTCAACTTCTTAAGTTTTCAAGGATAAACCTTGCCTACATATTAAAGTCATTCACCTGTATAAAATGTTACCCAAAGGAACACTTTGTCACCTTGAAATATTTTTATGTGAGAATTGTGAAGGAAAGACAACACATGGTATGAAAGAAGAATCACTGGATTCAACTTCTGTGCAAAAAAGAAATATATGTCTTTTCCCCCAAAGAGTTGTGGAGCCCTCATTCTTTTCGACTTTGCTTTCTTTGTGATATTTTATTCTTCTTGTGTCTCCCATTTATCTAACTCCCTATTTGCTTCCTTTTTTCGTTTGTCTTTTTAAACTTCTTTTCTATATTTTACATCCCATTGAGTATTATCAAGAAGAGTATTGTCTATTAATCCTGGAAAATGGAAGAGCAGGAGGCTCAGGTTCTAAGAAATATGCCCCGAGGTTGCTATGATGCCAAATGATGACTCAGTTAATGACCTGTGGGATCCTGTGTGTGCTCACTTCCTTGCTGTGTAAGTGGCTGGGGAGAATAAATCTTTTGAGATTAGTTTCTGTATTTCCTGTGCAAAAATAAAAGAAAAGAAATAAGATTCTTGGCACCAGTGGTTGCCTAGCACAATTATTCTTCCAATTCCCAATTTGAAATCTAAGAACTCTTTTGTTTAATGATAAGTTCTTTGTGTGTTTTAAAAAAAGAAAATTTCAATCTTGTCACTGCAAATTTAGTGAAAGCATATCACCAAATTCAAAATGCTAAAAGCTTACAAATATCAGATACATTTTAACTGAGTTTGAAATAGTACTCATTTAAAAGTGGCAGGGAGTTCTAATGTGTTTGAACTTTCTTCTTTTTTGAAGACAAAATGACAAAGTCATCTTAATTGCTGGAAATAATATAATAGTATCTAACCTAGAAGCTTGGGTATTAAACACCATATGCTACAGGCAATAGCTAAAATCCAGACTCATAGGTTGGATGTGATCAATTAACTTTCTGTAAAGAAATCTTGTTCTAAGTCTGGGTACATACATGGACTAGACTAGGGTACAACAAATGGGTTTAATCCAGAGATGTGAATAAGAAGAGTGAACATATCGAGGGGTAATCAAAAACTGAAGATATATAGAACAGTACTGAGAAAAAGAAGGATTCACTGAGGTAGTAGAAACTAGATTCTAAATGAATAGAGGAGAGAAAAATGAGTCAGGTTTGTTAAAGGTGTCTAATTCTTTGAAGCAAATAAAAAAGTTGAATAAAGTCATAGTTATAGGTATTTTTGTTCTTTATTTTTTATTTATTTTGTCAAGTAATTTTTTATTCATTTTACATACCAAACACAAATCCCCCCCTCTTCCCTCCTCCTGCCCCTCCAGCCTTCCCCCTGAACATACCCCCTATTCCCTCCTCCAACAAGGTAAGGCCTCCCATGGAGAGTCAGCAGATCCCGGTACATTCAGTTGAGGCAGATCCAAGCCCCTCCCCCTGCATCAAAGCTGTGCAAGGAGTCCCACTGCAGGTATTGTACTCTAAGAAGCCAGCTCTTGCACCAGAGATGGATCATGACCTTACTGCTAGTGGGCCCCTTAAGCAGATCAAGCTGCACAACTGTCTCACTTATGCAGAGGACCTAGTCCAGTCCCATGGAGGCTCCACAGCTATTGGTCTAAAGTTCATGAATTCCCATTAGTGTAGTATGAACTGCTAAAAGATCTTATTAATAAAAATCCCAGAGCCAGATACTGGGGTTAAAACTGAGAGATCAGAGGAATATAACAAGCTACAGCCAACCTCACCTTAGCAACTCCTCAGCTTCCAGAGAGAGCTACTTCCTATATACTCGTCCCTATATACCTTTCTGTGATCTTCCATCTAACTTCCTCTCTCCACCCAGCTCTATCACATCCTGTCTATCTATATAGACCTCCGGACTTCTATGGTTGACTAGTGCTGGGATTAAAGGTGTATGCCACCATGCCTGGCTCTGTTCCCAGTGTGATTTGAACTCATGGAGATCCTGATGCACCCATGCCTCCTCAATGCTAGGATTAAAGGCATGTGCTAACACTACCTGGTCTCTATGTTTAATATAGTAACTGGTTTTTTCCTCTGATCTCCAGGCAAGCTTTATTTATTAGAACACAAATAAAATATCACCACACACTAGTTTGGTATGGTTGTCTCTGTAGGTTTTCCCATTATGAATTTAATGCCCCTTATTCATAGAATCCCTCTTCTCTCTCTTTGACTGTACTCCTGGAGCTCAGCATGGTCCTTGGCTGTGTATCTCTGCATCAGCTTTTATCAGTTACTGGATAAAGGCTCAATGATGACAGGGTATTCATTGATCTGATTACTGGGGTAAGCCAGTTCAGGTACCCTCTCCACTATTACTAGGAGTCTAAACTGGGTCATCCTTGTGGATTCCTGGAAACATCCTTAGGACCTGGTTGCTCCCTATGCCCATGATGTCTCCCTCTATCATGGTATCTCTTTATTTGCTCTCCCATTCTGTCCCTATTCCAGCTCAACCATGCCATTCCTTTATGTTCTCATCACCTACCCTTCATTATACCCCCCTCATCCCCAGTTTAATTGTGGATATCTCATCTATTTCCCCTTCCCAGGGCCATCCATGCATCACTCTTAGGATCCTCCTTGTTATCTAACTTCTCTGTATCTGTGTGTTGTACTCTGGTTATCATTGCTTTACATCTAGTATCTACTTATGAGTGAGTACATACTATGTTTATTCTTCTGAGTCTGGGTTACCTCACTCAGGATGATGTTTTTTCTAGTTCTGTCAATTTGCCTGCAAATTTCATGATGTCATTGTTTTATTGTTGTTGAGTAGTGCCCCATTGTGTATATATGTACCATATTTTCTTTATCCATTCTTCAACTGAGGGGCATCTAGGTTGTTTCAGGGTTCTGACTATTACAAATATGCTGCTATCAACATAGTTGATCATTTGTCCTTGTGATATGATTGAATGTTCCCGGGTATATGCCCAAGAGTAGTATAGATGAGTCTTGAGGTAGATTGATTCCAAAATTTCTGAGAAGCCACCATACTGATTTCCAAAGTGGCTGTACAAGTTTGCACTCACACCAACAGTGGAGGAGTGTTCCCCTTGCTCTGCATTCTCTCCAACATAAGCTGTCTTCAGTGTTTTAGATCTTAGTCATTCTGACAAGTGTAAGAAGGTATCTCAGAGTCATTTTGATTTGCATATCTCTGATGACTAAAAATGCTGAGCAATTCCTTACATGTCTTTTAGCCATGTGAGATTTTTCTGTTGAGAATTCTCTGTTTAGATTTTTAATTGGATTGTTTGATATTTTGATGTCTATTTTCTTGAATTATTTATATATTTTTAAGATCCACCCTCTGTCAGATGTGGGGTTGGTGAAAATCTTTTCCCATTCTTTAGGCTGTCATTTGTCTTATTTACTGTTCACTTGTTACTCTTTTCTTTTGCATTACAGAAGCTTCTCAGTTTCACCAGGTCTCGTTTAATAATTGTTGCTCTCAGTGTCTGTGCAACCAGTGTTGTATTTAAGAAGTGTTCTCCTGTGCCAATGCATTAAACACTACTTCCTACTTTCTCCTTATCAAGTTCAGAGTAATTGGATTTATGTTGAGGTCTTTGATCCACTTGAACTTGAGTTGTGTGCCT